TACACAATCCCAGTGGCTACAGCCACTTCTCTCTGGGACCTGGAAGGTGACTTGTCGCCATTTCTAGGACACGGCTGTCACTTTCCCCGGCTAGAATAGTCAGGAAGGGATGTATTGCAATGTGATCTGCATTGCAATACATCCAGTGGAGCCCAACCCAATAAAGACATAAATATAAATTATAGTCACCCCTCCCCATTCTATTCAAATGTATTATAGAATTTTAGTGTCCATATCCACTAACCACAGTAGATGTGGTTATCTACCGTAGAAACAAGTTGAACATAAAAACAACTGCAGACTGTGCAGGTCGTTGTAGTGGCCCCAGTTGTTAGGTACATACTACAATACGCTGCAAGCTGTATTTTATTTTCATTCAGTGTTCACAAAGGTCTGAATGGAAACTGAAGACACTGACAACTAAAAGTTTTTTTTGTTTTTCCAGTGAGTGAAGAGCAATCTCTGGTTAAGGTTGATGAAGCATAATAGGGAGTGGCAGTATCTCCTAAACTCAGTGTAAATATCACACAAAGATAACGCAAATAACTTTCAATAATGGAGATGTTGGAAATTGCTTCAAAAAATATTCATAGATTTGGTGATCTTTAACCACTAGCCTACAGGGCACTTATACCCCCTTCCTGCCCAGGCCAATTTCCAGCTTTCAGCTCTGTTGCACTTTGAATGACAATTGCGCGGTCATGCAACACTGTACCCATATGAAATTTTTATCATTTGTTTGTGACAGATAGAGCTTTATTTTAGTTTAATCACCTCTGGGGGTTTTTTTTTTTATTAAACAAACCAAAAACCACTGAAAACTTTAAGAAAAAACGTTTTTTCTTAGTTTTTGTTATAAAAGTTTGTAAATAAGTGATTTTTCTCCCTCACTGATGTGCGCTGAGGCTGCAGTGATGGGCACTGATAGGCTGCACTGATGGACACTGATAGGTGGCACTGATGAGGAGGCACTGATGGGCATTGACAGGCATCACTGATGGGCACTGAAAGGCAGCACTTATATATGGCACTGATAGGCAGCACTGACTGGCATTGATAGGTGGCACTGATGGGTGAAACTGAAAGGCAGCTCAGATGGGCACTGATATGTAGCATTGATGTGGCACTGATGAGCACTGAAATGTGGCACTGGCAGGCGGCATGGATGAGCACTGATGAACACTTACAGGTGGCACTGCTGGCGCTACACAGATTATCAGGGCACACTGATCATCAGTGCTCTGATGATCTGTGTACATGTCCCCTCCGAGGAAAGCCGATTACCGGCTCTCCTCACCTCACGAGCGGTCAGCGTGACAGCTCGTGGGGAGAGAAATGCCGATAACCAGCATTTCCCTGTTTACATGTGATCAGCTGTGATTGGACACAGCTGATCACATGACCGAGCCGACATGTTCAGCTCTTTCCGTGGATTGATGATCCGCTGTGTCCGAGGGACACAGTGCACTGTCGATCGCCGCACACTCCCGAAGCCGCACATGCGTGGTTAGAATGGGAGGAGGTCATATGACGTCCTCCCAGAACGAGAGAACCACCTTGCATCCGTCATATTACTATATGGCAGGCGGGAGGCAGTTAATGAGCTACAAAAGGAGATAAAACATTTGGAGTTCACTGCACAGAGGTAGAACGTCAGGTAGATCCACCATCAGCAGAACAACTCCTTCTATATTGCTTTTAAGCTATTGCTGTTAAATGATGCAGAGGTTCGCTGATCAACATTAATCCACTTTAAAACACTTCATGAAAATAGCATCCGTTCAAAATTAATTGAGCCAACACTTAAAAGTGTGCCACAAAAACTGTAAAAAGTGCCAGGGTATGCCTCAATACCAGTTGTAGCTAAAAACAGTAGAATGTCATACGTCCTCTGTGGTACTACGTAGAACAAGCCTTTCAGGTACAATTTTAGAGCCTTTTCAAACTGATGCAGGGCAGTTTGACCACACAGCGGGGGGTGCAGCACAGTGTACCCGCAAGTTTGGTGCGGTTTTGCTGCACTTTCCCATAGAGTTCTATTATCTTCTGTGGTTTTGGAGCACTTCCTGAAAGCACACTGAAACAGACAATAGAAGTTAATGGGAAAGTTCAGCAAACCTGCACCAGACCCATGGGTACACAGCGCTACACCTATGGTGAGATCAAACTGCACTACATCAGTCTAAAAGGGCACTTAGGCTCTTAAACTGAGGGAAGCATTGCTTATGTTCTACTGATCAACTACTTTCTGAACTGAGTGAACCTGGAAGTTCTCAAAAGAGAGAACTTCCCAAAAGCAGCAGCAGGTGCAAGTCAAGAACATAAACCCCATCACAGAGCTTTGCCAGCTAATGACCTTGCAGTAGAGCATGGACATGTCACCTAATCACCTTTTGAGCTTTCTCAAGCTGCTTCATGTCAAGAAGATAGTCCCACATAGACCAATGGCAGTTGAGTTGAATTAATTTCCTCTTGCAGGAGTAAAATATTGACTTAATAGATTTCAGATTACTCTGTGGGCTTATCAGAGGGTATTCCCATCTGCATTATTTAGAAAACAGAAGGTACCTATACCAACATGTCATAGTAATATAGGACAGTAAAAAGAAAATGGATGGAAAAATAGACTTGCATACCTCATTATTTATTGTGATTATAATTCCGTATAAATTTGAATTATATATAAAATTAAAATATTCTAGCCAGGATTCCTCTATCCTGTGGGCTCCAATACATATGTCAATCTGCAGTCAACTGAGTGATTGTGAATGACAAGGAACTGCAGTTGAATAAAGACTGAAGAACCCAGATGGGACCATTCTCTTATAACCCTGGAGGTGTGAAAGCTCCCCTTAATTCTGGAAACCAAAAAAAGCTTTCACTTATTCTTCCAAAAGGACTTCTAAATTCTGAATCACTTGCTTTACTGATCCAATCTATGCGCATCATCCATGACTTATCCACATAGAATACAACATTCCACATATACAATGGGTGTAGTCTGATGAATGTTGTGTTTGTGAATAAGGCAATTCAGTTGAGAAGAATTCTCAAAACTCTATAGCTAATTATTGAAAGCAATATAAAGCTTTGTTTTCCAACACTGGCTGATGTGTACTCTATAGAGACTTACAAAGAGGAGATAGGAAGTAAAAATAGCAATGCTAAGGAACATGGACAACTAGTTATAATTATAGCATTTGACACATACAGTTATACTGATGAGAATGATGAAGATTTACTTTATAAGGTTGATTCGATGACAACAGAAATACATTCCACTGAACCATGTAAACTATAACTGGCAAAATGTAAAACTGAAGAAAAAAAAAAAAAAAATCTCAGCAGCTTTAGTTATTAGGCTCTACTTAGTTAGATATTAAACCCTTGACGCAGACGTCACACAAATACGACGCCTCACGGAACTGGGCTTTTTTCCATGGGGCTGCATATTTGCGTACTTGTCTTTGTGTCACTGAGAACCCCGGGTCCCAATCGTTAGACTCCCGATTCCAGGTCACATGATCGCTGTGATAGCCTCTGATTGTCTATCACAGTGATCAGTCACTGTGCAGTCCGGCCCCCTTGTTTTTTTACATTGTATCTCCCCAACTCCTGGCATAGAGAGAAAAAAAAAAGTTTGAAAAAAAAATAATTAAAAAATAAAATAAAAAAATAAAGAAAAAATACCTAGAACAAGGTTTTATCTAGTTCAGTGCCAGGGTTAGTGTTTGGATCAAGGTCAAAAGATCAGGGTCAAAGGTCGAAGATTTAAAAAAAAAAATTGGTATCAGTGTCAGTTAGTGTCAATATCAGTGGCCGTGTGTTTTAGGTTACAAAAAAAAAAAAGACAAAAACAAAATGCGTTAATAATGCCCCACAAACGCCTATAATGCAGTTTGAGTGGTGTTACCGCTCCGCAAACGCCCCGCAAACGCGTTGCAACCACACCGCAAACGCCGGCCGGGCGTTTGCGGAGCGGCACCATAGATGAGAATAGGAGGCTTCAACGCCTCCTGACTCAACCAGAGGCTTCCGTTTTGCCGCAACGCAAACGCTCCCGTTCGAACAGCACCATGTGCTGTAATGTGCAGAATTGGCAGAGGCGTTTGGGAAGCGGTAAAAACGCTTCCCAAACGCCTCTCTGCCGCTTGCACACAACACTAGTGTGAACGTAGCCTAAGTCCTCATGCACAGTGGGTGTTTTGATAACGCTGGTAACGTTAGCTGTGTAAATTTTAAAAACGTGATTTTTTTTTGTTCAGCTTTTTTTTAGCGTTTTTTGCATTAGCGTTTAGCGGCATTTTGCCGTGATTAGCGACGTTTTCCCACGTTTGCATTTTTTATTTACAAAAACATTTTTTTTTTTGGTCAACAAAAGTCCACATTTTTACCAAGTTTTTCCTCTTTTTCAGCGTTCAAGTATTTTTACAGCTAAAAAACTCCTCTAGAAACCCACTAGTCCTGGGTTTTTATTCCAGCCAAAAAACGCTGATTACAGTCTATGTGTGCATGGACACATAGGAAAACATGCTGGGGGGTTTACTAGCTGTAGAAAAAAAACGTCAAAAGCCAAAAACAGCTGCTGTAAAAAAAGCCCAGTGTGCATGAGGACTTCCAGGAAAAAAAAAAATATATACATCAGTTATCGCATTTCTGTCCTTAACCACTAGCCTACAGGGTACTTATACCCCCTTCCTGCCCAGGCCAATTTTCAGCTTTCAGCGCCGTCGCACTTTGAATGGCAATTGCGCAGTCATGCAACATTGTACCCATATGAAATTTTGTTTTGTTTTTTTGAGACAGAGCTTTCTTTTGGTGGTATTTAATCACCTCTGGGTTTTTTTTTATTTTTTGCTAAACAAACCAAAAACAACTGAAAATTTTGAAAAAAAAGTTTTTGTTTTAAAATTTTGTAAATAAGTGATTTTTCTCCTTCACTGATGTGCGCTAATGAGGCTGCAGTGATGGGCACTGATAGGTGGCACTGATAGGTGGCACTGATGAGCATTGACAGGCATCACTGATGGGCACTGAAAGGCAACACTCATATATGGCACTGATAGGTGGCACTGATTGGCAGCACTTATATGTGGCACTGACTGGCATGGATAGGTGGCACTGACTGGCACTGATATGTGGCATTGATGTGCATTGGTAGGCACTATGTGGCATTGATGAGCACTGACAGCTGGCATTGATGAGCACTGACAGCTGGCACTGCTGGGGCTACACTGATCATCAGGGCACACTGATCATCAGTGCCCTGATCAGTGTACATATCCCCTCTGAGGAATGCCGATTACCGGCTCTCCTCTCTCGAGCTGTCAGCGTGACAGCTCGTGAGGAGAGAAATGCCGATAACCGGCATTTCCTTATTTACATGTGATAAGCTGTGATTGGACACAGCTGATCACATGACCGAGCCAACAGCGGTTAGAGTGGGAGAACGTCATATGATGTCCTCCCAGAACGAGAGAACCGCCTTGCGCCCTTCATTACCTTATATGGCGGATGGGAGGCAGTTAAGGAAGAGAAAATATAAATGCAAGAAAAAAAAAAATGTTGTTATGGGCCTATGGCAATTGAAGATATTTCAAATAAAGGTGGTACCTCCTTCCCTGCTAACAATGAATAGTCTGGGACAGGTTCATTGCATTTGCACACAAAACATCTAGTGCTTTTATTACCTACATTAATTACATAGTAAAATATTCTGTTAAAAAATAAGTTTTCCATTTAGTATCTACTTTACATAAAACATACAATGTTTTTGTATATACTTCTGTTCAAAACTAAAACATAAAATGTTTTACCTTTTTTTTGCAAGGTAAATAATATTGTAAATTAATATTTCCTATATTTCCTATTAAGATTTTCTAGCCAGTAGGTGGAGCTCTAAGGTATTTCTCACATATTGACCTTCCTATTCTTAGTTGTTCTGTAAAAATAAAAACCGGCCTTTTGTTTGTTTACAAGGCTTAATAGCTCAAGCTTAAAATGACACACACAACTGAATGAGTCCACTCAGCCTTTCTCCCCCACCTGCTCTCTCATATGGATATGGCCATACGGATCTGCTTGCTGAGCAAGGAATCTCTCCGCTGATCCCCGCTGAGCAAGCGGATGACAGGTCTGTGTCTGATCCGCTGCTGCAGAGCGGGCACAGAGCAGCTCGCTGTCTTCACTGGGTGGACCGCCTGTCCGTTTCCATCCAACCTGATCCGATGGTAGAGCGGGGGAGGTGATTCGCTGAGGGTGCTTGGAGAGCGGGCACAGAGCAGCTCGTGTCTTCACTGGGTGGTCCGCTGTCCGTTTCCAGTCATCTGATCCGATGGACAGAATGGGAATTGGATCCCCATCTGTCTCTTTTTTGCAGGTCGGATTGGATGTTGTCAGGTGTAAACGGACACATGTCCATTTACACTCACCACTCCATAGAGGAGAATGGAGGTTCCGATCGGGTCCACCTGAAAAGGGGGCAGGTGGGCCCGATTGGAATGTCCATGTGAAAGGGGCCTCAGACAAACAATTTAAAAGCATAAAAGACTCCCGCCAACACAGCATGTTGCCACCTTAATGAAGTCTAATTGCATTGCACTTACTAATATTTTATATGCTCGAATGTTTGTAGCTACATTGGCTTGTTACACACACAAACATCCTCCTATGATGCTTAGGCCATTAACAGTGAGAAAGTCCATGCATATTCCAAATAAAATGACGGCCCTTCACTGCCTGCAATGTGGAAATCTTGATTCCATTAGCTTTAAATGATATATGTAGTGAAGTCCACAGCTCTTTCAAGGCAAACCGCATAGAATGAGCAAGCTGTAATATGCTGGATGTTTTTATATATCATTTTAAACCAGCTGAAAAGATCATCTGTACATTTCTCCCCTCTGGGATAAGTTTTCTCTCCCCTCTCTATAACCACCAAAAAGATGCTTGGTCAGACTGAGCAGCCTTGTTTACAGGCACAGCAGATGATCATGGTCCCTTATTGTTCATACATGTCCTGTCGCTACCATAGGTCTATAGACACCGTAATAAAAGGCAAGCGTCCAGAGATGCCAGCACACCCCTGTGTTTTAAAGCAGAGGTTCCTGAGCAAGACAGACACACACACACAATGAAAATTCTACACATGGCAGCACACAGTGCTGTTCACACTGAAGCGTTAGGGTTGCGTTGTGGCAAAATTGACGCCTCATATTGAGTCAGGAGGAGTTGAAGCCTCCCATTCAAGTGTATGATGACGCTCCTCAAACACCTGGCAGACGTTTGCGAGGAGGTTGCGGAGCACTAATACCATTTAACTTCATTATAGGCATTTGAAGTGCGGTTTTAACGCTTGGCAAACGTCTCAAAAATGCGCATAGGGCGTTTGGGGAGCATTTGAGGAGCGTTAACGCTTCCCAAACGACTAACACTATAGAGGCTATCCAAAAAAACAAAACCAGCGCTCAAATCTTCATGCTGACTGGGGTACTGTAACTGTCATTCATTGAGGTGCAGCCCTTAGAAGATTGGGAAATCTTGGTACTGGTAAAGAAAAGCAAAAACAGGGCGCACTCTCTTTGTGCATTACCGTGGTGAACCACGGGTTTATTTAAAAGCATAAAAGTGCATACTCACAAACCAAAAACGGAATTAAAGCACCTTTTTAGCTTCCGTCTGCATATATTGACTGTTATACGGTCTGAACGTCGGGGACTGGGCTTCTCTATTCAGGTGTTTTGGTGATGGTATAGGATACTAAAATCTTCTTCTGCAACCTGTCTCATTCACTTGGGAATTATTTGGACTTTTAAATGTTGATACTTTATTAGCGCTGCATTTTTTATTATTTACTTTTATATTTGCCTTTTGTGTGCAAGCTGCTTTTCCTTATTAATTTGCATTCTTGAATTCAGATTGTAGTTACATCCTAGCGCAGGTTTTTTGTGTTTTATAGATTACCTCAATCAGGGCTCGTTCACACTTGACTGTTTTTCCACCTCTTGCCAAACGCCACTATAGCATTTGACAATCGTTGGTCCGGCGTTTGCAGAGCGTTTTTAACACTCCGCAAACGCCGCATGCGCGGTTTAGTGGCGGTTGCTAGGCGTTTGGCGAGCATTAAAAACGCCCCACAAACGCCTACAAATATAAAGTTTGAATGGTGTTAATGCTCCGCAAATGCCCCACAACCACACACGCCAGCCAGACGTTTGCGGAGCAGCACCATAGACTTGAATAGGAGGCTTCAACTTCTCCTGACTCGACCAGAGGCGTCCGTTTTGCCGCAACGCGACGCTAACTCTCCCGTTTGAACAGCACCATGTGCTGCAATGTGCAGAATTTTCCCAGGCATTTGGGAAACGGTAAAAACGCTTCCCAAACGCCTGTCTGCCACTTGCTAACAAGGCTAGTGTGAACGTAGCCTAAGGGTCTCCCGTTACTTTGGACTGCCACCACTGACTCTTTATCTCTGTTTTAATCCCCTTTGGTTTGTGAGTATTCACTTTTATGCTTTTAAATAAACTCGTGTTTCACCACGGTAATGTATAAAAAGAGTGCGCTGTTTTTGCTTTTCTTAACGTAATAGGGGTGTTTGGCAAGAGTTAGAAATGAGTCAAGTGTGAACGAGCCCTAACTGTCCTGTGCGCAGGCATTTATTTCATCAAATATAGCCAGTCTGAACTGCCCAACTGCCCAGGTTGACATAGGCCACAGGTTGACATAGGCCACAGGTTGACATAGGCCTATTCCTTTGTCATTGAACCTCTTTGTTCCTGTGCCTTAGTAACCTGAATATTCTCTGGTTACTAGGGACACCCTTGCCCTGTTATTATAAAGACATGTGCAGCAGAGGCCAATAAAGTAGACCTCATATAATGAGAGGTATAGGCAGCAACACCTCAACCTACCTGCATATCCTGATTAATTCATAACGAGCAACACATCTATAATTTACTCTACCACTCAACTGAGCAACTCAACTGTTAAATAAATTATTAAAATGCAAAGGCTTTTTTTTTTTTTTTTTTTTAACTCATTCAGTGTTAGACAATCATAAAAATCTATCTTCACATATAGAATGGTTATATCGGTTAAGAAACAGAATTCATTATTACATACTGTATGTGTATATAATTACACTGTACGGTTATGGGTAGTATAAAATGTGACTGAAAATCTGCCTTAGAACTGGCTTGAATTTGTCTTGGGTGATGTACTAAATGGCGACATCCCACAATGTATTAAACTTTAATCATCTGTTTAGAATACAATTATCTTTTCTCAGCACCGCCTTACATTGATATGCCCTGGCATAGATTTAACTATCTTCTCGGGCACCCTGGCAACCTCTGTACCCAGAAAACTACTTTGAAAATACACACTACAGACACTAGCAAGGCTCCCTGTTGCTGTCCTAACTCCTTCCCACTGTCCGTCATTAATAGTACCACCCAGGAAGCGCGTTATGCATAGGCATAACAGAATGCACACCATGGTGGCAATGCTGCATAGGTTAGATCAGCCCGCAATTCGTTGCCACTATGAAAGCCATTGTAATGGGCAGGATAAACAGACATTTTTTTTTTCATTCCTGAAAGATTTTTTTTTATTTCAGCGCACAATTTACGCAGCACTTTACATATATATATATATATATATATATATATATATATATATATTGTACATTCACATCAGTCCCTAACCCTCAAGGGGTGTACAATCTAAGGTTCCTAACTTACATTCATAGGTACACATAGTAGGGCCAATTTAGACAGGATCCAATTAACCTACCAGCATGTCTTTGGAGTGTGGGAGGAAGCCGGAATACCCGGAGGAAACCCACACAGGCAAAGTGTTTTGGAAATAAATAAAAGGACATATAGTTAGACTAATTTAATTAGAATGCTTTTATGATGTTTGCTTTTGGGTTTTACTGAGACTTTAACTAGGAAATTACCTAGGGCTCTCCAGTATGGCAATACCAGTCTGTCTAGGGAGTTGGCCCTTACCCCATCCCCTCGTGTCACTCTTGCTCCACTATTCATTATTTTGATGGCCAACCTCCTTTGCCTATACTTTTCATCATTGATTTTTGTTATGGCACATAGTAAATGAGTAGGGCACAGGGCATTGCTTCTATGCTAAGCTCCATCGGTATTGCCGGCATCAGACAGACTGGCAGCGGAGATCAGCAGCAATCCCCTACACGAGCACTTCACTGATATCTGGACACCGTTATCTGAACTACTGCAGCACCTTCATATTCATGAACAACCATACTGTCAGACAACTTTGTTAATGCTGTTTATATGTGATTAGATTTCTTTCAAATAAGAAGTGGCAACGTCATGGGACACGCTGCATGTTCACCCACCAACCAAGGCTATGCAGAGTGGAGGAGAGTGATAGCTATCATGTGGCCGGCACTAACATTTATTTT